TCATGCAATGTTATGAACAAACATATCCAGAGACACACTGCAGCAGCTCTGAAATCTGTGCAGCAGTGAAAGTGTACTGTCTGCAATCAATATATCCTTACAAGTCATCACTCAGTAGTGTGTTTGTGTGTGTGTGAGAGAGAGAGTGTGAGTGGGAGAAAGACGGAGAGAGAGAGATGAGTTCAATATTCTTCAGTCCCCCTCCACTCTAACTAATTACTTTCACCATGTGTGTGTGTGTGTGTGTGTGTGTGTGTGTGTGTGTGTGTGTGTCCGTGTCCCAGGTGCCTCAGGACACTTCTTATGATTATTCTGCTTTGTGAGAGCTTCAATATTTCAGGTTGTTTACTGTGAACAGGTGGACACAACAGAATATAAAAAACAAGAACATGCTGTCCTCATGTACTCATCCTCAAGTCTTTCCCAAATTAAATGACTTCCATTCCTCTGTGAAACACAAAAGAAGAAGTTTAGCAAAATGTTGACGCTGTTCTTTTCCAATGGTGTCTAGTGAGGATGAGTTCTTAAAGGGATACTCCACCGTTTTTTTTTTGTTTTGTTTTTCAATTAAACTATTGTGGGATTTATTATTGTGGGATTTATTAAACTATGTTATTCCCTTAACTAAAACGAGTTGATGCATACCTCTCTCGTCTCAGTGCGTGCACTCAATTGCTCTGACACTTTGATCGCACTTAACCCTGTTAATTTGATGTGGGTCGAGCAGAGAAGCGACCAAACACCTCCACGTTTTCCCTATTTAAATACAGTTACACGAGTATAGTGTAACTCGACCAAGAATGGTGACACAAAATAAAACGTTGCACGCTTGAAAAGCTTGTAAAAGCGGATAAATTGTATGGCGGAATACCACAGCAATTGATTGGGAGCACTTTGACTCATATTAGCGCATATTTATCTATGGTCATCTAACATTGTATTTCATTTCAGCTTTATTTTGAATAAAAATTATTTAATGTTCTTTTTAATTAAAACTTTTGCTGATCTTTTTTTTTACACACATGTTATATCTATATTAGTGATTTGACTGCTTCTTATTTTTGCAGATTAATTCAGACAATGGCGTAACAAGTAGATTTTGAGTTAATGATAAGTAATTTTCTAAACAAAAATAATCGTATTTTAATATTTTTGCCTTGAAGATAAATTTATTCCAAAATATGTATTCGTACAGTCATGAACATTTCATGTATCCAAAAAAGTTTTAGTTTAAAAATAAATAAATAAATACATTTTTTTTAAAAACAGGTCTTCTGAAACATACAATAACGTTTTGTGTCAGACTGAACTCTTCCACTTTTTCATAACATATTTGCTGGTGCAAAACTGGTGCAGTGCCGTGCTATATTTAAATATGTACATTATCTTTATTTGTGTTCGAAAAAAAAGATTTGAAACTATGAAGGTGAATAAATGATGACTGAGTTTTCATTTTTGGATGAATTGTCCATTTAAACAAACATGTAGACGGTAGTAGAATGGTACACTTTACATTCTTCTTGGCACTTCTTTTTTCTCCTCCTCAGCAGAAGCGTTTTATCTCATTAAGAATGGAAGAGTGAACTGTAGGCCAAATCTGCTGCATTGACACACAGCATGTTCTCAATAAGACATGCAAATTAGAGGATCGTCTTTTGGGAGCATGCTGTCAATCAAACTGTCTCTCTTTCTCTCTCTCTCTCTCTCTCCTCCCTAAGCTTAAAGAGAAGTTCAGGATGGGGAGCACAGACTTAGTCTTCCTCATTCATCATGCTAAAACTGGCACTGTCACAGCAAACTTCCACTAAAAAATTTGAATTTATCTTCACGCTTCTTGAGGTTTTTTTTGTTTTTGTTTGTTTGTTTAGAAAATTGCTAATCATTAATATAGCTGAATCAAAGTATATTAAATATGTACTGCATTTTAAGAAGGGATGTAATCATTAAAACAGAATATCCGAAATCCTTGAAAAAAAAAAATGTTTATCCCCATAAGGGAAATGGCTTCTTTTTTATGTTCAAATACAAACTCAAATTAAATGTGTGTGAGAGAGAGAGTGTGTGTTTTGTGCATGTGTGTGTGTGTGTGTACACTAGGTGAATTAGTGGTTCAGCTAATTCCATCTTATAAAGGCTCAAACAGTGATTATGTTAACATTGAACATTACTCTTCTTGTAATGAGTGTATCAACCTCAAACATCTACAAATGTGGTGGCAGAAAGAGGAACACACTCATTAGTTTAATTTTTTCACTTTCTCTCTTTAATCTGTACGGTGTCAGAAGACATTATTGCTCAGAAGTCTATCTATCTATCTATCTATCTATCTATCTATCTATCTATCTATCTATCTATCTATCTATCTATCTATACTCTCACTTTTTAATTATATATTTAAAGTTTTAACTATTTATTTTATTTTTAGTAATTTGAGATGCCTGTTGTTTTTGAACCTGAAGCAAACGGAGGACCAAATTGTGCTTACAAACTGCAAATGTTACAGTTAATCAATCTTGCTTAGCTTTTTTTTCCTGCACTGTAAGTGGCGACATAGAGAAGAGTAAGAGTAATTTAAGTTAAGCAGACCAAGAAATGTTCTATTTAAAAAGAAACGTTCTCTATTCCCATTTCCATTTCAGTTTACAAGTGTAAAAAGGACCAAGCAGAACAACAATTCCCTCAAGCATCCAAAATCTGACACTTCTCTAATTCTCATCATCAGTGGCATGTGTGTATATATATGTCTGAGTGTGTATGTGTGTCGGGACAGTTACAACACATGTGTTGTTCTAAGACAGGTGTTGAAGTGAGTGATCTTTCACCTGCATGTCTTTGTGGCTCAGGTAAAACTGCACAGGTGTTCATGCGGCAAGTCAAAGTAAAGGTGTACACACACACGCATACACAGATATGTGTCTTCCCCTGTCTCTCTCTCTCTCTCTCTCTGAGGTGAAAAATAATGAAAATGAGATCTGTCGATCTGGCCACATCAGCCTCACCACATCCTTAGCTGTAGCAATGTTTCTGCTTTGGGGAAAACCCATGTGTGTGTGTTGTGTGCAGGGCAGGCTGACTGACTCTCAGTTAGGAGAACCCCTGGCTCATCATCACAGAGATTTGGAGATCACACAACTTACAGAGCTTGCTGATATGCCTACGCACACAAATAGACGTATCATCCCATCCTCCAACCCCCCGAAACGGGGAAAAGACGCACAGTTCAGACACTCCTTCCCTACATAATGTCAGTTATGTAAGATGAATAGTTCTTCTGTGAACTTTTACACAGGGCAAAATCTCTCCTGTCTGTCTGCTGCTACTCGACATTTAGAAAACAATGTTGTTTGTAACCTGTCATTTTTACCTAAAAGTTACAGTTTTAATTCTGCGATTTATTCACCATCATATCGTTTTTTCAGTGTACTGTAAAAAAAAATCACATTTGATTTACAATTTGATCTGAGATTTGTCATTTGAATCAGATTTTGATATATATTCACGTTAACTTATGATTTCATTCTACATGTTATAAAAACATGAAATGAGCAGATGGAATGGGTTGGACCATTACTATATTGTACTTATAGATCCATAAAGATTGCTACATGCCACATTTAATACTGTTACATTTTAGAGTTAGATTTATTTTACACAGGGTATGGTTAGTAAAATAAGTATCTTATGCTCATATATCAAGGCTGAATTTATTGGATCAAAAATACAGTAAAAACAGCAATATTGTGAAATATTCTTACAATTTACGTAAAATATATGTTTATATTCCTGTGATGGAAAGCTTATCTTTCAGTATCATTAATCCAGTCGATCCTTCAGAAATCATTAGAATATGCTGATTTGTCAAGAAACATTTCTTCTAATTATTCTCAGTTAACAGTTGTGCTGCCTAATACATTTTTATAATATATATATATATATATATATAAAGCCAATTTTTTTACAGTAAGATATTTTTTTTCTATATGCTGTTTGAGTTACAGTAAAATGAGTCCATTGTCCTATATATCCACTGTTTTGCTTTCAAATATTTCAAATGAAATGAGGGATGTGATGGACATAATTGTATTTTTTTTTATTATTATTAAAGTATTTGACACTTTTTTACACAATTTAGATGTGCAGTAGATGTGTTGCATTTAAATGTGCAAAAAAGTGTTACAATCTCCCCTATTTCTCTGTAATGTGACCGAGAACCCTCATACCAGTGTTATTTTGGAAACGCATGTGTGCCTCTCCCTTTACATTACTTAAAACGGATAATTTCCTTCCTTAAACAGACAGACAGCCAGATTGACAGGCAGCCAGCTCATCGAATGTCATCAAAGCTCATGAATCACAACCATAAGGGGGGGATAGGAAGTGAAAAGCATCAAACAGAAAGCAATAAGAGATGTGAAAAACACAAAGCACTTGTCAGCCAGTAATTGTGTTTTTTCAGACCGCACGTGACTGTGTTTGTCTTGAAATGACCTCATGCTTCCTTAAGAAAACTTCCACCTGCACTGGCTCAGTAAAAGTATATCCCACAATCCTGCGTTCACAACAACTTTTTTTTTTTTTAATCCTAGTGCATGGCTTCCAAAAGACACTTAGCGAAAGAAAAGGCCACTTTGTAGAGGGCAGTCCAAGGTGTCACTTGAGAAGGTTGCTGTAGGGAGGGGGGATTGTTTTTAGGTCATTGTGTTTAATGTTAGCATTGTACTGCCTTTTTAACAGAGGGTGTCAGGGAACGCAGGGAATTAGTGAAATGGAAAGATCCTGTCGCATTTTTTTTTTTTTTTTGCAAATCGTATTATCGTGACTTACATGCATGTGTACTGTTTAGCATAAACATTTTAGGCTTTTAAGCGATTAAAACCTTATTTGATTTCATTTCACCCAACAGGATCGATGAAAATCAGACACATGCTGTCCCTGCTTACGTTTTCCCTAAAATCAACCTTTTTTTTTCCTTTCTTCAAATAGAAATTCAATAACCATTCACCTCTGACAGGTGACCTTATGTTTCTACTGAAAAGACGGACACAACAAAATGCAATCATTTGAACTGTTTTAATTCCCCAGTGAATTCTGGAACATTCTCAGGCTCTTAAGGATCTGGTTTAATGACATGAGAGATACACAAAAAAAAAAAAAAAAACGAAAATGAACAACTCATAAGAAAATACTTTCTCCAGTAGATCTATCTCTAGAAGTCGTGTCTCTATAGCGGTAGAAAATAAAGCTCTCGTGACCTCCTGTTACATCTTGCATATATTCTTGTAAAAATATACTTTCAAAATAAATAAATATATAAAATAAATATCTTGAAAAAACATAAATTAAAGGACCTAAAGAAAAAATGTTTGGAGGAGTTTGTCTCCTGCTTGTCCATGCCAGTGTTTGGAAGAGTATGAAATCTCTATGAAAAAACATTTCGCAGAATTCCTTCAGAAGCCTTGTAGAATCTTCAGTAGTAGTAAATGTCCATTATTCTCTGGCTTGAGGTCCACCAGTGATAATTTGCCCTCTTTTAATCCGAAATCCCTACATATAGCAGGTGAATGGATCCAAAGCAGTGTTCTGTTTTCCGGAACTATCCAGAGTCCAGACAATTGGTTCCTGCCACTGGAATCGAGGGCTTTCCATCTCCTGCTATTGCTCCAGAAGAGGTCCTCTTCCCCCCACCCCACCCACCCGCCTGCACTGCTTTCTCCTGAGACAGGTCTGTCTTGGGGGGGGGGATAAAGAGCATGGCATGCAGGTGCTTTTTTGGGTTTGAATTTGAGGTTCAGTGGTTTCAACTGTGACCTAGTATCTCCTTGTAGAGCTCAGGAACGCGCTCTGGATCCACAGGCCGTGGCAAGAAATGCGTGAAGCGCTGGTGCCTCCGAGAGCGGGCTCCATCCCGAGACGTTCCGTCTTTGTTGAGGGCTACGTAATAATGGGATCCTCGTTCGCCGTGCCGATACAGGTTAGAAGAGTAAGTGTTGTACCAGTTCTCCTCAAACTGCTCCCTGAACACACACTCCGCTGTCAGCTTTTCCTAAGAGAAAGAAAGGGGAAAGCAAGGGTTAACCACACTGCATAATAAGTTCCAAACAGAAGGATAAACTGTGTCCAAAGGCTATTTGAAATTGCACCATAAATCTCAGCCTCAATTTAGCACGGGCAGGCTATGAATGAAATGAATTGTTGCATTACTCAACACAGTAGCAGTAAGAGAAAGACACTGTATTTATGCTATACTTACAGATCCGTACAGTTCACCCTTGCTGTTCATTCCCAGATACAATCCGCTATCCACGCCACGGATGCTCACCATCCCCACAGCGAGGCTAATGAATTCCAATATACCTGTGAGAAAAGCACAGCTGTTAGTTCTCAGTTGAGACAGCAGGACAAGCACCTGCAATAGTGGCATCAATCTGCCCTATACTTAATTTGTGACGTATTTCGCGCTTAATCACAGTGTTTTGCTATATTATAATGAACATTATTCAAAAACAGTCAGCATGACCATGAAAATAATAATAACCCCCCTTGTCATAATAATATCATCACATTTTGCATTATAGTTGAGAGATTGACCAACAGTCAGCAATAACCATGATGCATTTTTAAATAACAATGATCAGAATTTTGAACCATTATCAGTCCTGGTCAATTTCTACACTCATGCACTGTCTAAAAATACAGTGTTGCATGATTATTGTTATTAGTTATTTATTACAGTGGCATCATGCAATATTTGTAGCATTGAAACAGCAATAAATAACACTTACCAAATCTGCTGTGGTCTTTTCTCGTGCCTTGCACCGAACCGTCCTGTAATATCTCGAGGTGGAAGCCGGTCCTGCAGTAAAGCTGCCGCCGACGGAGGATCCCTTTCAGATGCGTCAGGTCCGGTGAAGTGCTGCGTGACAGGCGCTCGGCGGAGACGATGTGCTCGTTCACCAGAGCACCGGAGTCCCCGGGGGGCGTGAGGACGAAATGAGACCCGTGCGCAAAGCTCTCCAAGCCGTGAGAGAAGCTGCCCACCAGCTCACCGACTGCACCCATCACCGACAGTCGAAGAAAAGTTGCCGTGAGGAGAGCCCCTGTGGTTTCTCTTTCCCTAGTGTTTTGCGCAGTCACTGCTTGCGGCTTTGACAGTCAATGCGTGTTTACATCCGATTCTCTCTCGCTCTCTCTCTCTCTCTAGCTCTCGCTTTAGCACATGCTCTCTCGACCTTCCAGGCTACTCCCCTTTGCTCCGGTCCCCTGTGTATCCAATACTCTCTCTTACGCACTCCAGGCAGCACACAAGCTTATGCGGCTTCTCTCCTCCTGTGCTCTCTGGATGTGACTGGCTCTGTACTGAAACACCAGCCTAAATATGGCCCTTATGTAAATGCTCTCTTGACATATGCTAATGGCTCCCTTTATAGATGACTGTTTGAAACATAACTCCTTGATCGTTTGATCCTCTTCTTCTGTCTTCTTTGATGATCGGTTTCATCTGCATCCACGGGTTTAATCCATTGATGGATTATGATAAAAGTGCAGAAAGCAACATTGTGGCAAATCTTTGCGACGCGGAAAAGAAAAGTGCAGCTGGATGGTGAAGAGGGATGCGCACTGTGTACTGATCCGTTCCGTTCCCCGTGGTTTACGCGCACTGACGCGCTCTGGCGAATCTCTAGTGTGAAGCAGGTGGAAGCCAGGGAGGAAAAAGGAAAAGAAAGGGGGCGGTGCTCGAGAGAGAGAACGAGAGCGAGAGGGAGAGAGAGACAAGACTTCAAGGTGTGTAGTTAGGCTATATGTGTGTGCGTTGCGTTAGTAATAGTTGATGCCAAAAAGTCTCTTGTTCTTGATTTGCGACTTGGTTTATGCCATTATACTTGGGTTTAAACTTACGCTTAATCGATAGCGAGGTGTAAATTGAAATGACCTATAAAATGTGCGTGTAAAAGAATAAAGAAGGAAAAGTCAAAACAACCTGCACATTTGTGCGCACGCCATCAACTCTGACTGATGTCAACGTGCCTTTGAACAGTTCCAGAATAACATGAGTTGAGATGAAGTATCAAAGATATCAAAGATCAAAGATCCATTACGCACAAAAGACGGGTCATTAACACAAAGGAAACGAACTGTTTGATGGCAAATCGTTGATACTATGAGTGATTGATATAGAAATTTTCCAGCCCAACAGCTAAGAACATGCCTCAAAGTAGATATTACATGAAAGATATGGACCTGGTGTTGCCTTGTTCATTTAAAACAAGATGAGCGCGCAATCAACTGCTCTTACATCTTGCTCCTGCATGGGACCCACCAAAGTCAGTTTATAAGTCAATGTATTTTAATTCGTGGTTTATTATACATTATAACATTAAGGTAACAGTAATAACATAGCTTTATAGGCTACTATTATAATCATAGTACTATCTACTATAGCAATATATATAGTAGGCTATAGCTATAGGCATATGCACACTATCATTGAAACATTTAAGTTCCAAACCCCTTCTTTGCTATCTCTCAGGAGGATAGATCACGTCCACAGTAGGTGATTTATCAACGCTTCTCTCGAGGGACACGTTCTCCCACGTTGTTCCCCTTAGCTCATTAGTATTTATGATCTCCAAAAATACTTTAAACCAAAATCAATGTGGTCAGCTAGAACAGGATCAATCCACGGCCGCAGTGGATCGATCACTTGCAATAGAGATGTCAGTTATGTGCCAGATTTCGTGGTGACATTGACAGTTTGCTCATGCTGCATGGTAAACCAAAAACACGTCATAGGAGTTTGGCATTTTTCATAAAAGCTCATCTCGAGACCTTTGAGTTTGGCTAGCCATAGGCTACATATGTCTGCTTGGAATGGGGTTTTCAATGCCACTCCCGCCAAAAATATGTTTTATAATTTGTTTTGTTTTTTCAACCGAAACTTTCGCTTTTTGTCCCGTTCCCATCCGCAAAAGCCCGTTGGAATTGGTGGAACCTACCTCAGTCCCGGTCCGGCTACACTCTGCCTCGTTCTGATGCTTCTATTTACTTTTTTTCTTTTTTTTTTCAATTTCCACACACGACGGATTAGATAGGTTATCGAGTGACAGACTTCTGCGTGCTGTAGATAATTATATTTTGCGGGAGCCACGAGTCATTAATTTCTCCCGCTTTCCGCTCACCCTCCCGCATCCGCGCTCAGCAATTCAACTTCCCGTTAATCACTCTGCGTCGGGTTCCGATTGCAGACCTCTGCTCGAGTTGTAGACTACAGATGTACAAAGCAGATGTGCGCACATTTGACTTCAATGACTGTACAGTGAAGTGTCAAAACTTTGATTTGCATAAGTAGAATGTGCGAATAGGTCAAATTGTCTGCAAATGAGAAGATTGAGTCTAAATAAGGTTTTTTTTTAGATGCTGGTACTGTATGCTACAATGTATGAATTATTCAGTAAACTTCTTAAATACATTTCTGTCACTGAAGTAGCCTACATTTTGCAATAGGCCTATAGCTATGTCGAGGTTCGTCTCACGCAACCAAAACATTGTTTTGTCGCCCTAATGCCAACTAAAGTTTAAACAAAACACACTCATGTTTATGTTATTTGTTCATATGATGTTTATTTGATGTTAATTTTTTATATGTTCATAATAATACTAATAAAACTAAAATTGCTTGGCTACTTGTTTTGTCCTACCAAACGAAAAGTGCGGTAGTTGCTATGGTTACCTCTTCATGGGGATGTGTTTAGCTCACTCTTGACTAACATGTAGCTATAACTTTATTTGAAACGTTTCATTTATATGTAAAAAGAACCCAGACCTTTTGTACGACTTTTTTTTTTTGTGGGGGGTTCAAGCCTTAATTTGAGACGTCCACGTATGCGTTGGCAACCCTTTTATTACATAACATTTTAAGTTTATATTTCATTATGTTTACGACCAGAGCACAAATGTCATTTTGGACTTGCTGCTGCTCTGTTCTAGATGATCCCGGTGAGGGAGCAGCACATGATCTCGCGATGAATGAATGAGAATTCGAGAATCTTGCACAAATTTTGTCATACCAACAATAATGGCCGCTGTGCGCAGACTGGGATTCTTATTTAGGAGTTTGCCGTCATCTCCACGGAATGCTCTTTTTCGTTCTCCGGTGAAGGATGGCCGATGTATAGGTAGGGGGATAGCAGTTGCTGCGGGCTTTGCAACCGGAGGAGCGGTGTTGTATTATTATTATTCAGATATGTGCGGATTCAGAGGGAGAAAAGCCCCGAAAAACGGAACGGGCTGTCGGGCTCTGCTGCCTTCACTACCCGCTGTAGCCGCAAAGGAGAAGGTATGACTGTTCCCAATGTTCTCAGTGCCACGTAACTGTTTCCTATTCGTGTTTTTTTCCTGGCAAGGGTTTTTAATTGTCATGTCGACGCTATGCTACTGCTTGTGGGACAGGGAATGGGATGTTCGTGCTGTAGAGTTTCGTGAGTTGTTTTGCTTGCACAAACAAACATTCTTAATTCTTCGAGAGTATGACAATGCGCATTTGTGTGATGCTGCAGCAGCAAGGGCGCTTTCCCCAGTCATGGTGCTGAAATGACTGCGCACAAAGTGTCTGTTTCAGATCTCACATCCGAGCGTTACGGTTGGTTAAAATACCTATGAACCTGTGCTGTATCATAGAGGCCTGTCAAACAGCACCCTATCAGAATTGAGCTGTCATATCTAAGCACAGAATTCTTTGGCACGTGCATATAAACATATTTTGGGGATTTTGTACCTTTGCAGACGGTCAGATTTGGTTTCCATGGACTGACAGATGTTTTGGTCTGACTGTTTCACTTAGAAACTAAATGTTTTCTTGATTGGGCTGGAAATGTTGCATATCATGTTCTTGTGAGTGTGTTACCACATATACCGGTCAAAAGTTTTAGATCAGTAAGATTTTTTATGTTTTTAAATGAAGTCTCTTCTGCTCACCAAGAATGCTTTATTTGATGAAAAAAAAAAGACAAACAGTAATATTGTGAAATATTATGACAATATAAAATGACTGTTTTCTCTTTTAATATATTCTGAAATGTAATTTGAAAGCTGAATTTTCAACATGTTCAATGTTGAAAACAGTCGTGTACCATTTTTTCCCCAAAAATTCTAGAAAGTTCAAAAGAACAGCATTTATTTAAAATGTAATCTTTTCTAATATTATTACTGTAACTTTTAATCAATTTAACCCATCCTTGATAAATAAAAGTGTTTTCTAATTTCTTTCCCCAAAAAAAATAAAAATGTAAAAAACCGTTTTCAACATGGATAATAATCATAAATGTTTCTTGAGCATCATATTATAATCATTTCTGTAGGATCATGTGACACTGAAGACTGGAGGAATGATGCTGTAAATTCAGCTTTGATCACAGGAATAAATTACACTTCACTATATATTCACATAGATTCACATAGATCTTACTGATGTAAAACTTTTGACTAGTAAGTGTTTTTGTGTGTGTTTTTTTGGTTTTTATATACTATATATAATTATATATATATATATATATATTATATATATATATATATATATATATATATGATGTATTCCTGTGATTGCAAAGCTGAATTTTCAGCATCAGCATCATTACTCCAGTTTTTAATGTCAGATGATCCTTCAGAAATCATTAAAATATGCTGATTTGGTAATGAGGTAACATTATTTTTATGATCAATACACATGCACAGGATTTGTTGCATTTATATTTTATATACAGTATAGATGTTAACTGTTAACAAATTTGTGTTTTTCTTGCCATTTTTTTTTTCTTGCAGGCTCCGATGTTTGATTTTGACGAAGGTGACGTGTACATGTCGTCTCATGAGCATCGTTTCCGTCTCTTCAGCTCAGTGGAGTATGAAGGACAGCTGTACATGACTCCTCGGAACTTCATCGAGTCAGTCACCATGAGTGAGCCCCGCAGTGAGTAACACATATGCTCCATCTAAACTCAGAGTTATACTTTGTGTATAAAGCTCTTTACTGTAAAATCTTCTCAATTTGCTTTACTTCAAAAAGCATGCAAAATGTTTGCCTTCAAAATGTTTGTCTAGGCCTTAGTTAAATTTGGACATTTAAGTATTTTTTTTTTTTAATTTGCCTTAGATAAAGCATTCTTGGTGTGCATCTTGAGAAAAGAATAAGATATGTCAGTGCAAGTTGCTTTCAGTTAAAGCAGCACTATGCAGTTTTTTTACCTTAACTGAATAGTTTCGGAGTTATTGCAATGGTT